CCCCAAAACCCCAAAACCCCAAAACCCCAAAACCCCAAAATGTCAGAAAATGTTGAAATTTATGTAAAAATAAAGCCAAATATATTAGGACCGTCAATCTTGAATACCTTCACTCCTGTGAGTCCTTTGTCATTAAAAATCTGCATGATCTTGCTTTCAGACAAGTTTGAGAGTTTAAACTCGAATTTCTTCAAACTCTTGCTCAATTCTGATTTGCCAAATGCTTTGACTATCTCTTCTAGCTGACTCGAGTACTCATCCCAGTCTGATGATTCTCCACACATAATATTGATTTCTGACTAGCTCACCAGAGATCTTATAAGTTGATAAAACGTCTCGTCAAGCTCCTTTGCTAGATATCAGCTCTCTAAGTCAAAAGTAGCTGCTTCTTAATCATCTTGATAAGGCATGTGTCTGGCTTTGATCATGGTCCATATCAAAATATTGTACTCTCACATTGTTTGCATATTTTATGAATCCTGAGAGTTCAAAGAAATCTACAGAAGCTAGAATCTCAATCTCAAACTTGATACCTCTCAGCTCCTATTGCTCTAACTTTATCTCCAAGTGATCTTCCATCATCTATTTATTTTCAAAGCTTTGTCCTCTCATAAAAATATGTTCTTTACTTTAAGCCTCCTCTCTGGTTGAATTATCACTTTGCATTTGTCAAACACTCAGGCCTGGAATGCTAACTCCACTGCTCCAGTACAGCTATTCAAAATCCTGGTGAATCCCTTACTGGTCATCCTCAGTAGGACAAGATATACCACTCCAGGTGCAGTAGAAACCTAGAGGCCTGCTACTTAGCTTAAGAAGAGATGAGAAGGATCATGCAGGGGTTGGGGTGTACTTGGATGCAGAGGTTACAGAGGAGAGCCAAAGGAAGAAGATGATGGAGATTTAGGTATAGTTCAAAGGAAAAAAGAGAAGGAGAGGGATATAAGAGTGCTATAAATCATTAAATTTTGTAAGAATTCGCAAACTGCGCTGGATAAATTTGCCTCACCTGCCACTTTGAAGGCTTGAAGGGGCCAATGATGATTTTAGAAGAGCATATTTATTCAAAATGATGTTGAACCTTTCAGTTGCCTTGTCATATCTTTAAATGCCCTACCAACCAGCTATAAAGAGGGTTCTAGATATTTAATTTTCAATCAAAATTCCTTGTTCTGGGGTTTTGGGGTTTTGGGGTTTTGGGGTTTTGGGGTTTTGGGG